AGAAGTTTACGTGTCACAACCTCCTGGATTTGTGAAAAAGAATCAGGAAGGGATGGTATACAAGTTGAATAAAGCTCTGTATGGATTGAAGAAAGCGCCCAGAGCTTGGAATCTAAAAATTGATTCGTTTTTCAAGAAGCAGAAGTTTCAGAAATATGAGATGGAATATGGCGTTTATGCGCAACACTCAGATAACAATATGATTCTGGTGTGTCTCTATGTTGATTATATTTTTCTAACAGGAAGCTGCCCAGAAGATATAAAGAAGTTTTGATGAATGAGTTCGAGATGACAGATCTAGGAAATATGACTAAGGATGGAGATTCTGTACTCGAAGAAGGGTATCATTCTGCATCAGTTGAAGTACGAACTAGAACTTCTGAAGAGATTTAAGCTGCAGAATTGTAAAGTTGTTGTGACACCATCAGAAACCAATCAAAAATTGGATTCTGACTCTGATGGTGATTCTGTTGATACTACAACCTTCAAACAGTTGGTTGATTCTCTAAGGTATTTATGCAATACTAGACCTGACATTTGTTATGCAGTTGGATTGGTTAGCAGATTCATGAGTAATCCAAAGTGGTCTCATTTTCAAGTTGCTATCAGAATTCTGAGATATATCAAGGGAACTTTGAAATATGGAGTGTACTTTCCTTCTAAAAGAAAGACAGAACCATAATTAGTAAGTTATTATGATTCTGACTGGTGTGGAGACAGAGTGGACAGGAGAAGTACTTCTAGATACTTGTTTAAATTTCTGGGAGGTCCCATTTCCTAGAGTTCCAAGAAACATCATGTCGTGGCTCTGTCAACATGTGAAGCTGAGTATATCGCAGATGCTGTAGATGCTTGTCAATCTGTTTGGCTTCTGAATCTCTTGCATGATTTGAAGGTTGAAGTTGAGGAACCTCTGAAGCTGATGATTGATAATAAGTCTGCAATTGATCTTACCAAGAATTCAGTGCTACATGGAAGAAGCAAGCATATTGAGACAAAGTATCATTTTCTCAGAAGTCAAGTGCAAAAAGGAGTGTTAGAAGTTTTGCACTGTAGCACCCAGAAACAGCTAGCAGATCTTCTGGCGAAGGCAGTTAAGACAGACCAATTTATTCGCTTGAGAGATGAAATTGGTGTTGTTAGCTTTTGATAGAAAATCTAAATTAAGGAATGGTATTGGAAAAAGATAATGTAGTTAATTTCTATAATTCCCAATGCTTATCCTTTAATTGGGTCTTTTGGCATTTTCAATATTTAGTATAAATATGCTATTCTAGGCTACCAATATTATACTCTACTTTATCTCCTCTATTTTGATATACAATAGTCTTTTGTTATCATTCTTTATTCATTTTCTTCTCCCACTTCATTACCTAGTATTTTGTTATCATGTTGGGGGGAGATACTAGGAGCATTGATACATAGTGTAGGACTAGGCACCTTTGGTTCGAGAAAGGGACCGGAAGAGACTTGTATCAAAATGCGCCCAGGAAATGGTATTCTGTTGCAAGATGTCAACGACGGTACAAGTGGGGGAACATTGTGGACTCACACTTGAGGGAGATTGTTGGAATAATATAACAAGTGTGAGTAAGTGGGGAAATAGTCCCACATTGGATAGGAATGTGGAGACTTAAGCATATATAAGTGGGAGAACTCACTCACCTATCACCTTAAGGTTTTAGGTGGATAAGTGGTGTGTCTCTCATAAAGGTGCTTAGTCCTACACTATATATCAATGCTCCTGGTATTCCCCCAACAATATTGTTATTTAAAATTAAACATTACCAACATGATTAATCGAGAAAGACTAAATTCTACAATTCACACTTTTTAAACTAGTATAACTAATATTTATCTAAATCTTGTCCTTGTAAAAAATTTACTCACACTCTATCAAATATTTATTTATGCATTTTTATTTATTAATTGATATTTCATAATACATATTTCATTAGTATATTAGGGTTGTATTTGAATTGGATTATCTGAGATTTACTTGGAAATCGGTCCAATGAAATCGGGTTAGTAGAATCAGATTAATAGACCGACTGAAATGCTATTTAGCTTATGAATAGATAATTTTTTATTCGATATCCAAAGCAAGAATCAGATCATGTATTCAATAAGTACTCGGTCGTATTTAGTATATATCATTATCTCAAGTATTCAATAAATTTCTCATTGTGAACAAATTGTCTAGCAGATTACCTGAAAACTGGTCCAATAGAACTGAATCAATAAATCAACCAAAATGCTATTTAGTCCGATTTCGATTCTAAAAACTTATCTGACACTATTTCGATTCGATCCTAAATCATCTAATTATAATTTTGATATACTTCTCGAAAAAATTTATATTCAGACCGGACCAAACCGAAAACAATCCTAATTAGTATACCACATTATGCTGGCTGCCGTAAAATATAAATGTCTTATAAATAATAAATATTAATGGTAAATAAATTTTCTTTTTGTCGGTGAACTTAAAACTACTAGGAAGTACTTAAGTGTCCTTATGGTCGGGTAACCCCAAAAAATATATTAAAAAATTTAAAAAGTGTTCCCTTTCTTTTATTTTTTACTCAAAAATGATATTATTTATATATTTATAAATTTATAAATAAATATACATAACACATCCAATACAATCTATAAAAATAAAAACAATTATTGGTAAAACTAATTATGATGATATAAAGACTAGTATGTATTAATTGTACCATATGATTATTTACAAAGGGATTTAGCAATAGTAAACACAGTACTAGTACGAAGGAATATGGTCCTAGTACTTCATAAATTATTTACTACACCTTTCTTGATGTTATATAAATAATTGAATCCAAACAAAAAATATTTAAGTTTCAGAATTCATATATCGAGTGAAACAGAATGAAAGAAACTGTATATATCAAGTGAAACAAATGAAAAATACTGTTTTATGTGACTCTGTCACATTGCAATTTTATAGTATCCAATGTATAAGTGTCGCACACAACAAGAACGTTATATTTTTTTTTTTGTTGTTATATGATAAATAAATATTCCATGAAGTTGACATTTTTTGCCATGTGTTTCTTTATGTTTATGTTTTGATTCAAGAGAATATAAAATTAGAGATGATTTTCTTATGAAATCTTAGTAATAAGATATTGAATGGATTTAAGAGTTAATAGTTATTTCATTTTCTATTATATGAGTGAGTTTTAAAAAATTTCTCTATAAAAAAAATAAAAAAAATAATAAATATGTTATTTCGTTTTCTGTCATATGAGTAAGATATTTAATAAATTTTACATAATAAATATATTATTTCGTTTTCTATATATGAGTAACATATTTAATAAATTTTACATAATAAACGTTATTTAATAAAAAATAATAATTGAAATAAAAATATTAATAAAAAAATATAATAATATATTAATAATATTAAACATATAAAATATTTACTAACATATAATAAATATGTTTTGAAATATTTATGTAATAGTGTTTTTTAAATAATAATAATATTAAATGCAACGTTTATATATATATTTGATTCGAAGTGGTAGGTTGGTTCAATATCCTTTGCAACAAAAATTTTCAGTTTTTATATTAAATATGTTAATAAGCAAACGTTAATGGAATTAAAAAAATAAATAATAATAATAAATATCAACAAGATCATTTATATCATTAAAAATAATAATAAAAATTTTAAAAAAAATATGGTCACGTCAAAAAAATTTATGATTGAATTTTAAGAGGGGTCTAATTAGAGAATGAATCCAAACAATTTTTTAGAAATTTTTTCAAAACTCACTCTTATCGCGCAGAGAGCGAAATGACTGTTAACACTAAATTTAATTATACTTTGCTTTTGTGTTATTTTTTGAGTTAGCATGTGGAGAATTGTAAGGATATCCTAATCTCAATGCTTTCATAATTTTAATTAATAAATTGTATACTATTATAACATGTTTGAATTGATTTTTAGAAGACTTAGAATTAATTTTATATGTGTAGAATTGATTATGGATAATTTTTGAGGTATATGATTTATCAAAGGTAGAATTAATTATGTCTCTATAATTGATTTTAATTAAAGTTAGAATTTGTAATTTTTTTTTTCAAAATTGATTCTGAGTGATTTTTTTATTAAACTTTATTGTTCAATTCGTTTTTACATAAATATATCTAAACATAAATCAATTATATTAAACTCAATTCTGCCTGAATCAATTATATCAAACTCAATTTTAAAAAATTAATATTTAAATCCGTTTTGCAAAAGTCTACACAAAAAAAATAGCAAAACATAGACGCATATAATTAGGGTCCAGGCGTAAAATCTTAACCCGCTTTATAAAAAATAGCAAAACAGAACCAATATGCGTGTCTTAAACTTCTAAAAATTTGTGATTAAGTAAAACGATATAACCTATAAAACAAATACATTTTTAGTGATAGGTGTATCGATGTCAGACACTTATTCGATACATATTAAAAAATGTTATAAAATTTAGATAAGTGTTTCGAAAAATAATATTTTTTTTTTACGTTCGTATGACATTCATGTAACACGTGTAAAACAATTATAATTGATGTTTAAAAAACAAATTCTTATTTATAAACAAATATTCAGATCACATATAATAAAAAAGTAAACTACTGTTTGTAATCCCTACAAAGAAAATTCAGATCCAAAATTTTCACGGTATACAAACAAATAAGTGAATAACAACAACCGTAGAAAAAAATTAACTCATAGAGAGTACAGTTTTCAGCATTGGAATGGTCCCAACAGCTCAAGTGTGTCAGATTGTCTGTCAGACTAGATCATAACTGCCCTCTATTTATTCCTTCCCAACTCCTTTTCCATTTCCACAAACAACACCTTTCAAGGTTCATCTTCTTCTAACTAATTCTCTTCCCTTTCTATTTCTCTCTCTCTCTCTCTCTCTTCTTTCACTTCTATATTAACTTCTCTATGCTTCATTTATGTAGGAAAAATGTCTCCTCTTGGATTTCTTCTTCTTGGTGTTTTCTACATGGTTTCTCATGTAAATGGCCATGGTGGTCATGCTAGTTGGATTAATGCTCATGCTACTTTCTATGGTGGAAGTGATGCTTCCGGAACAATGGGTATGTCTGTCTGTCTATCTGTATATTTGTATGAATATAACTGACATTTCAACTATGTTGGCCGACAATTCAATGAATTTGTTACATATTCACCTAGTTAGCATATAGATGACAGTTAAATCAAGATTAGAAGTTTAAAAAAACAAACATATTTTCTTTTTTCTATAAAATTTTCTAAAACTATCGAGTTTGAATATACATATATCACTCTGATCTTGATCTAACGGTCATTAATTGTGAATGCGTAAAATTCATGACTATGAAAAATCTAAATCACATCCCGACTATGTTAGCACCTCAGAAACCGACTATTATTAGCAAAAACCCTACAAACATTATTGAAATACTTGTATAAATGTTAGTCATGGTTTTGCTATAGGTGGAGCTTGTGGATATGGAAATTTATATAGCCAAGGTTATGGAACAAATACAGCAGCATTAAGCACAGCATTATTCAACAATGGATTGAGTTGTGGAGCATGTTATGAAATAAAATGTGTGAATGATCCACAATGGTGTACTCCTGGATCCATTATAGTTACTGCCACTAATTTCTGTCCACCTGGTGGTTGGTGTGACCCTCCAAATCACCATTTTGATCTTTCTCAACCTATTTTTCAACACATTGCTCAATATAAAGCAGGGATTGTACCTGTTGCTTACAGAAGGTAACTCCACATTTTCTTTTTTCTATTATCTTTAGTGTTCATTATCAGTTCTGATAATAAATCAGACACACTTGTTATAGTTCTAGGGACAAAACCGTCTTTAAGGGTGTGTAGAGTGAACTCAAACTATAACACGGAGCTAAAAAATTTCACTGTTAAACTATGCTTAAGTAAGATCTTGTAATAGATTTGTCACGGTTAAATCGTGACTATATAAAACTCTTATTTGATTTATCACGGAAGAACACTGATAACCTACTCAAAGATGAAACCATTTTTGAGGGTGTGTAAATTGCAATGCTAAATTTTTTTTATAGTTAAATTATAGCTAAATATAATCTTATAATTGATTTATTATAGTTAAACCGTCGTTATATATGATTTTTATTTGATTTGTCACACTTGAACAATGATAACATATTCGATACCTTCAAAAACTTAAAGAGTCTAAATATAATAATTCTACTTTTTTGTTTTTGGATTTTGAAGGGTAAGGTGCAGAAGAAGAGGTGGAATAAGATTCACTATCAATGGACATTCTTACTTCAATTTAGTACTAGTGACAAATGTTGGAGGAGCTGGTGATGTACATTCTGTGGCCATAAAAGGTTCAAGGACAAGATGGCAAGCCATGTCAAGAAATTGGGGGCAAAATTGGCAAAGTAACTCTTACCTTAATGGACAAAGTCTTTCATTTGTTGTCACCACAAGTAATGGTCATAGTGTGGTTTCATTCAATGCTGCACCAGCTGGTTGGTCTTTTGGTCAAACCTATACCGGAAGACAATTCAACTATTAAGTAAACTTTTTATCGATATTTTGAAAAATCGAATCAATTAGCTCAACCGATGATATCTAAGGTTTGATTATTTAAACCGTTCGATTCGGACTTTGTTCTTACACGAACGGTTTAACATTCTCTAACTAGATCCATAGGTTTTATTGGTTCGGTTTTTAAAATATTGTTTAGTAATAATATTAATAGTATCTCAATTTTCAAGATTATTATTACATTTAAAAATTAAAAGATTAAGTTTTTTTAGTTTGAGTAGTGTAAATTGATTTATTAGTGTTTTGGGCTAGATAGAAGATGGTTTAGCCCAATATATTTATATATTTTGATATTTATTTATATGGTAAGCATTTGTGGATGATGTGCTGGCTTTATTTATGCTGTGCCTCAACAAATGAGATACTTACCATGAGAAAGATTAATCTTAAAGAGATTGTTGAATGTGCTCTTTGTACTTTAATTATTGGTGAATGAATGTGAAAGATCATGCTTTAATTGTGTGATAAAAAAAGAGGTGCCTAACTTCACTTGCATTCCTAAACATGTAGTGGACATCATTAGTGATTCATTTGGTTTGTTTGTTCTCTAGTGAACCTAAAGCTATTCTCTCTTTGTTAAATTTAGGATAATTGTAACTAAAGTCATTTAATATCCTAGTTGATCTATTTAGTAAATTGAGAAATCTCTAGCTTAATTGCATACACAATTGTTTAAAGATGATGGTAAGAATTTCTTTTAACTTAACTTAAGTTTTAATTTCGAATATAAACATACAGCAAAGTTAAATCTGTTGAAAGAAAACTTTACCGCACTTGTAAACTTATTTGACTCGATCGATTAGTTTAAGTAGAAGAAGACATAAAATACCTAATTTGCAAAACAAAAACTTTTTAACACAAATTATTTAGAGCTCAAGGATCTACCCCATGTTATTGATGTCCCAATCTATAACATGATATGTTTGAGGCTGTGGTATCTTCTAGACATAGTTATTTTCTAAAGACCTCAAAAATTATTTATACTCTTAAAAGATTATATGTATTGTTAACTTAAACTAAAATAAATAAATTTTATTGTGATGCTTTTTATGTATTCATTTGTATTCTTCATGTCACTTTCAAATAACTGTTATATCAGCTCATCAATAAAGATGTAGAAAGAAGAAAAAAAACACATATATAACAAAAGATTAGCAAAATAAATATAATAACATTACAAACAAATCAAATTATACAGAAAAATTGTCATCTAAATAAGAACAAGTGAATAGTTGAAAAATCAGAATGAAATAAAGACAATAATTTATTGGCAAAAATACATTTGAAATACTATCAAAAGAAAGAAAACAAGTAACAAAATTTGGTGAGAAAAAATTGACCAAACAACAATTTCAAGACAGGGATAAATTATTGTCACTCTTTGTAACTATGTTTCAAGTTTGAAGAATAGAAGCTTCCTGAATTTCGTGCTCGGTTAGTAGTTTGGTAGTATGAACATATTCAGAAACAGAATCAATGTTTATGGACTCCAAGCTAACGGGACTCACAGAAAACTCGTCTCCGACAGCCTTTATAGTTCTCTCTATAAATTCTGATCTTGGCATGTGCTCCTTCATTCGACAAATAAAATCTGTGTGATCTCTTGTCTGCATCATAGCAATCAAATGTGAGCATGGATTGATAAACAAGTGAATCAAATAACCTTAACACTATATTTATTTGATGATATCTTGATGCATAAATCACTCCTGAATTGTACACAAATGATAGAGATAGGGATCATATAGTATACTAACGAATTAATAACTCGAATTAGAGAAAATTAATACCAAAATATAAGCTTACTAATCGATATTTAGGAGCCTTTGCAGGTAACTTGAGATAAGACATGTTCTTGCATTCATAATCCCATAGGAAAGACGTGTGGTGTATCCACCGGTTCTTGGTTATAGATTGAGCGTTTCCCCCAAACTTGCGATCACCAAACGCATAATCTTTGAGCAGAGGAAAAAATAACTTGATCAAAAATTCATGAAACAGACTGAAATTTAAACAGACTTTAAATGAACTGTTGAATTAACCGCAACTCTGCACTATAAATTTTATGTGTGAATTTAACATGCAAAAAAAGAATGGTTCTAGAAACAGTGTCAACATACCATTTTCACGTAGATGGAAATCTGCAAGCCCTTCAAAAACTTTACCATACAATAGACCACTCCACGACATAATGGGACGGGGAAACGGTTGAACATTTGGAACAGCGTCTTTATTGCATATCAGTGTAACAAATATAGTACCATTGTCAACAATAACAGTTCCTCCCCCAGTAAACCTTCTGATGATAGGTATATGATCTCGCAACACAGATTTGGCTTCAACAAGTTCTGAAAGTTTCCTACGTAAAATATTACACATTGACATTAGGTATTTCTTCTCACAAACATTTCAAGTTTAAGGTGTGTCTGAGACACGTACAACGCTTACAGATGTGATTATATTCAATCACTTCCATTGTTTTAAACTATATTTGATGGCTACATGCTAGTATCGGTATTTTGTTGTATGTCCGTGTTTAAAGGCTCGAAGCAACGAAACACTTGCGCACTCGCCAAAATAAAACACAGCTTCCGTGAACTCGGTTCTAATTAGTGATTTAAGCACTCATTTTTAAGTTTAATAAACAGCCATATTGTACAAAATCACTTCAAGTTCAAGCCGTGTATGAGACGACGCATACTACACTTACAGTTGTGATATATTCAATCACTTCCATTGTTTTAAATTATAATCAGTGGCTACATGTAAGTATCGATGTTGTGTCAGGTGTCTGTGTTTCATAGGTATGAAGCAAGTGAAATACTTGGGCATTCCCTAAAATAAAACACAACTTCTGTGAACTTGGCTCTCGTTAGTGCTTTAAGCACCCATTTTTAAGTTTAATAAACAGTAACATAGTACAAAATATGGGAAAAGATCAGACTGTTATAGGACAGAAATCAACACTTCATGCTTTTCAGTTATCACATGTGCACCAGATTTTTAAACATCCTTGAACACTTGTTTCCAAAGTAATAAATAAGAGGACTACTCCATGCTTTGTAGAATCGACTGATCAAATATAAGAATCCTACTTTGGATGAAATATGGCTAGAAAATATATTTATAAGTAATGACAATCGTCACCTTCCAAGTCAGTTCTATAAAATTGAGTTAAACTCAACCACGATTTTAAAATGGTACTACTCTGTCCCTAAATATAAGATCCTGTAGACTAAATTACGTTAATTAAAAAAGTTTGTTAGAGTATTAAATTTATTGATTATTTGTACAATTTTACAATATATCCTTAGGAGCGATAAATAATTAATGTTTATACAAGTGTATTTATTACAAATTGCAGAAAAAGATGTAATATAATTAGGGGTATGTTTGGAAAAAAATATTTAATGCACTTTGAAAGTTGAAGAGAGTCTTATAAAAAAGGACAAGAAAAAAATTCAAGAAGGTCTTATAAACAAGGACAGAGATAGTATTAGATATGAAATAAAGATTGTAATAGCTTTTGGAACGAGATCTAAATCCATTTAATATGGCATTAGAACCAATCAAAGATTCATTAGATCACTTCCTATCAGGTTTCCGCCATCAGACCACCTACCATTCATATATCCATGCATCAAGTCCAATAATATTAGGCATAACAGGTGTGTTAAGAGTTCACATCATAAGAGACAGTGGAATCTCAAAACACCAGTTCTGCAAGACAGCTGTCCCAAAGAAGGTTCTAGTATATTCAGGCCGTAAAACATAACTATAAAGCCTAACAAACGACTCAGTATACACTATTCTAAATCCCTAAACCTTGCACTTACGACTTTCACTAACTTGATTGGAAGAAAAACAAATGCAAAATGAATATTAGTAAAATCAAAACTATAATAGATTGTTATTATGATCTATGTAGCACCGACACAAACACCTTGAACAAAGGTCTAGCTAGTGTAGTGTAAGACACAAGTCAATGTCTCATTAATTTAATTTATTCGTTTTTTCAAATTATTATCTTTGTGAACGTCCCCGGTGTCGGTGTTTCATAGACTATGATTGTAAATCAGAACAAAATCGATATTGAAGAGATTACAAAGAAGTTTACCCAGACATGCCCATCACAATGGCAGGGGAAGTAGTTCCATCATTAACAAGACACCAATTATCCGAACTCGTTCGAAGCAACCGTTCTTCTAAATGCAATTGCTCCAAAATACACATTCCTTTTAACCTAACAACTTTCATCAATGGAGCTACTCCTTCTCTTGCTTTCCCCAACATTGTCACTATCATACACTGTGCTTATCTTCTGCAATTCAATGAAATAAATTAATAAACACGAATTTGTTGATTGTAACTGAAAATATGATATCTGCTACGACGCGACTCGTGCGTTTTGTATCGCTGCGGCTGAAAATCGCGATGGAATCGCGTCGGCGTCGGCGTCTGCTACAGGAGAGGGGAGAAAAAATGAGGAGAAGGAAAGAATAGAGAGAAACCTTGTGGCGGCGGTCGACGACTGAGTTCGGGTTTTTTTTCCGGCGGTTTAGTTCAGTGACGCTGTGAGTTGTTGCTGATTTTATTTTGAAGGTTGAAGTTTAGTTGGTGACTATTAAATTTTTGTTCTTTTATTTTTGTGTTTTTAATTATTAAAATTTGTTTGCTTTACATTGAAAAAAATTGATTTAAAAGTGTAAAATTAAGCCAACTCGCTGAATTTTAATTCAAAACACAATTAACATTGAATTTGAAATTCACACCTATCTCAATTTTTTTAAAGTAAATTTCTCTTTACATTTAATAGTGATTTTTATTTCTTAAAATTTAAAAACATCTTTTAAATATGTATTTTTAAATGTTTCTCGTAAATTTGAGATATTGAATGATTTTGAATATATATAATTTTTAAAAAAAATTAAATTAGATGACTTCAGATATATATATCTGAAATAATCTAAATTTTAAATTTATTTTAATTTTATTTTAAAAAAATATTTATTTATAATATAATTCTAATATAATTAAATTGAGTTATTATTAATAAAAAATAATTTAAATTTATAATTAAAAACTAACTATTAAAGTGAATTTAGATATGAAATTAAACAATGAGTGCAATAATTAAATTTTTAATTATAATAGTGAAATGTAAGTATTTTTTAATTATTTATTTAAAACTATGAATAATTTTTGATAAAAAATATAAGAAATATTTTTTAATTGTAATTTTAAAATTTAAATTTAATTTAGATGACACTTTTAATTTTTATTATAATGTTATAATTAAAAAAATTATTATATTAAAAAGATATTTATATTATAATTAAGAGTTAGATGTTATTAATAATTAATAATATTAAAATAAGATATTTATTATTAATAAATAAATTTTTGTAAAATACAGTCTTAAAAATATTTTAGAAACTTGGCCAATGCAAAAAACCTAAGTGGAAAATGAAATTCTCTTCTGGAATCGATTACAACACTTACACTCCATTATCTTTCACCACTAACACCTATAGTTTTGTTTTCAAATCTTCTACCAACAATGTTCCCTGTCCAAAAATAACGTCATGGTACCTTCCTATTCAAGCTATCTTCCATCCCTCAAAGACCTTTTAAACCTCTTAAAACTCTCCGCTGATGCTAAAAATCTAAACTTTGGCAAAACCATCCATACCCAGTTGCTCATTCGCAACCAATCACCAACCCACCACTCTCACATTACTCAAACCAACTCCCTAATCAATCTCTATGTCAAATGCTCCAGACTCCGTCTCGCACGGTACCTATTCGACGAAATGCCCGTAAGAAACGTTGTTTCTTATAATGCTTTGATGGGTGGGTATTTGCATAATGGGGAGCACTTGGAAGTTATTTCACTCTTCAAAGAAATGGTTTCGTCGGTTCAAAACGATGTTTTGGTTTCACCCAATGAGTATGTGTTTACCACTGTTCTTTCTGCTTGTGCACATAGAGGGAGAGTTTTCGAAGGGATGCAGTGTCATGGGTTTTTGTTCAAGTTTGGTTTGATTCTTCATCAATATGTGAGAAGTGCTCTTGTTCATATGTACTCGAAGTGTTTTCATGTTGATTTAGCTTTGGAAGTTTTGGAGAGTGAAAATGGTAGTAATAATATTAATGATGCTTTTTGTTATAACTCGGTGTTGAACGCGCTTCTGGAGTCTCGGAGTTGGGGTGAGAGTATGGATGTTTTGGGCAGGATGGTGAGTGAAGGAGTGGTTTGGGATAATGTTACGTATGTTAGTGTTATGGGACTTTGTGGTCAGATTAGAGATTTGCGATTGGGTTTGCAAGTTCATGCACAGTTGTTGAAAGGTGGTTTAGTGTTTGATGTTTTCGTTGGTAGTATGCTGGTAGACATGTATGGAAAATGCGGAGAGGTTTTGATTGCGAGGAAGGTTTTTGACGGTTTGAAAAATCGAAATGTGGTGGTATGGACATCCCTCATGACTGCTTATCTGCAGAATGGAGATTTTGAGGAGAGTTTGGATCTGCTTACGTGTATGGATCGAGAAGGTACTATGGCTAACGAGTTCACTTTTGCGGTTTTGCTTAATGCTTGTGCAGGTATAGCAGCACTCAGACACGGCGATCTTTTGCATGCTCGGATCGAGAAGATAGGTTTTAAGAATCGTGTTATTGTTAGGAATGCTTTGATAAATATGTATTCCAAGAGTGGTAGCATTGACTCTTCATATGATGTGTTCTTTGATATGACATATCGGGATATTATCACTTGGAATGCTATGATATGTGGATACTCACAACACGGACTCGGTAAACAAGCTTTACTAGTGTTTGAAGACATGGTGTCTACCGGAGAATGTCCAAATTATGTAACTTTTGTCGGCGTTCTATCCGCTTGTGCTCATGTGTCTCTCGTAAAAGAAGGGTTTTACTATTTGAATGAGCTAATGAAACATTTTAAGATTGAGCCAGGATTGGAGCACTACACTTGTCAGGTTGCGGTTCTTTGCCGAGCCGGTCTGCTTGAAGATGCTGAGAATTTCATGAAGAGAACAACACATGTGAAATGGGATGTTGTTGCCTGGCGAGTTTTGCTTAATGCGTGCAATGTTCATCGGAATTATAGCTTGGGGAAACGAATTGCAGAAACTATCATACAGATGAATCCTCGTGATATGGGGACGTATACATTGCTATCGAATATGTATGCGAAGGCACGCAGCTGGGACGGTGTCACGGCTATTCGGAAAATGATGAGGGAGAGAAACATTAAGAAGGAGCCTGGAGTGAGTTGGCTCGAGATAAGAAATATTGTCCATGTCTTTTCTTCAGATGGAAGCAATCATCCGGAGTGTATTCAAATTTACGAAAAGGTTCAACTATTGCTGGAAATGATTAAGCAACTAGGATATGTGCCGAATATTGAAGCCGTACTGCATGATGTGGAAGATGAACAGAAGGAAAGTTATCTTAATTATCACAGTGAAAAGCTGGCAATAGCATATGGTCTCATGAAGATACCTTCTCCGGCACCCATCCGTGTGATTAAAAACCTTCGGATATGTGAGGATTGTCACACGGCTGTGAAACTAATATCAAAGGTCACAAACAGATTGATAGTTGTTAGAGATGCTAGCCGGTTCCATCATTTTTGCAGTGGGACATGTACTTGTTCCGACCACTGGTAGCAATGGGCCGGCGAGCAAGACAGTTTGATGCAAGGATTGAGGACAGACACGGAGCTGCTGAAGGAGAGAATGGACGAAATGAAGAACGGAATCAAAGTATCGGTTCTCGAATTTAAGAAGACACCTCTGGAGAATTCGATCACAAGAGCAAGAAGACGAGAAATGAAGAAGCTGAAACGAACAGGTCTGACAAGGGCAAGGAACAATCTCGAAGCACTGCCAGCAAAGGAGTGAGGATGGAATCCCACACAGGAGCAGGAGCAGTGGAATATTCTGAAATAAGTTTTGAAGCAGTCTTGAAAGGAGCCAACAATCTTGTGTTGCATTGTTCTTCAATGGAGATCCTTGTGGAGCTTAAGAAGATGCGGAAACATACACCGAGGAAGAATTCGGGCTGCGACCAAGAAAGAGAAGACGTCGCAACCCCTGTTAGGATTTTCCACTATCCAGAAGTATGATTCATGATAATGTAACTCATTTATGCTGAATTTAACATGTTTTGAATTTCAATTTGTAGTTTTTTGTTGTTTGATTCTGGTTTTGAATCTTTTGATTAAGGCTGTTCATGGTGTAGTTCATGGTATATTTCTGTCAGAAAACTAAACCGATCCGATCCGTATAATAGTAAAAGGTCACATGAACTAAACCAAACCGTTTCAACACATTTAGAATTGAACTGAACTAGAATTATTGATTTGGTATACCGGTTCGGAATTCTGAATTGTACCAAACCGTTAGAAGACAGACAGTTCGGTTTATTTGTCATTTGATTCGGTTCTAGAACTACACATATTTGATTTACTAACCAAACATAATTGTTATGTTATTTTAACTTTAGTCCAAATCATCGGTTTTTATAAGTTATGTAGAAAAAAAGAAATAAAAAAATATCTCAAAATAAGTTCATATATTAAAAAAATCCTCACACAAGGGAAGAGAAAAATTCAACATAATCTGTTTTCCATAATCTTTACAAATTCAATGAAATCAATTCTTCCATCATGATTCTCATCAAAATTCTTGATCATCTTCTGACAATTCTCAACTTCTGAACCTTCCTTAAATCCCAAAATGCACATAACTCTTTTTAACTCCATTGCATCAATGAATCCATCTTTGTTCTCATCAAAAACATCAAAAGCCATCTTCACTTCCTCAAAACTTGGCTCATTCTCTTCAAACAATTCAGAAAGTTCCTTAGAACCATATTTTTCTTCAAGTTCCTCACTTTCTTCACTGCAATTTATTCCCATTTTCGCCATCACCATTTTGACTTCATCTCTCTTAATCTCCCCACTTTCTCTGCCAACACTTGATTCGCCTTTTGATATCTGCTTCTCTCCCTTTACATCCGAGTCACCGGAACAAAGTTTGCAGAGAAGAAAAACAAACTGAAAACTCGGCAAACTTAACAAACTCAAAAAGAACTTTTGTACTCCAATGATGAATGTTGAATAAAGGAAAAAATATATCAAACCAAATAAAGATGAACTTGAAGTTGAGTTGATATCATCATTCTGTGATACACTTTCTTCTGCAATAAGATATTCAATTTGTCGAAAAACCATGTTTGATGTTTGCATATCTACTTAAAAATCAAAACTCAAAGATATAGATGAATATGTAGAATCCTATGACCCTTTTGCACAAAGATTCAAAATTTGTTATGTTGTTATTTAGTCTATGAAGATGAAAAATGTTATGGCTAAAGAGTTGGTTATATAGGAACAATTTTGAAAAGTGAAGGAAGGTACATGACTAGTTCATGAATTAAATGGTGATTATAATAAAGATGATAGAAGTATGGTTGGTTTTTTCTTTACAATATCAAAGGAAGTTTCTTGTTTTGTGAATTCCAGCATATATGGAATTTGTATTTGGTTGTTTATGGCCTGCCTTTTTCTTGTTTGTTTCTGCTTTGATTCTGTCTTTCTGTCTTTATTATATAATTTTATATGTGATTTTTTTTTTTTATAGGAATGGACACAATAAAATTTTTAGTAGTTTCTTAGAAGTTGATGTCAATGTCATATATGCACTTACTCTATGACTTCTCTATCACTCCTTTCCTATTGATAATTCACATTTTTTAAAGAAAATACAAAATATTTGTGTTTTTGTATAGAGAAATGTAAAAATAATTTAATTTGTTTTTTATTTGAATTTAATTTATTTTGGAAAATATATATTTTTCGAATAAAATACCTAAATAAAATAAAATTAATGTTTTTATTTATAATTTATAACAAAACACATGTTTTTTTTATATATTATTACAGAGAAAGTATTAAATAATATTATATAGTTGATCTTCATTTTAACTTATTCACATAATTACTTCTTTATTTTAAATTTAAATAGTTTTAATTTTTTTCTCACGTTTTGATATATTATTATTATTATTATTGTTATTATTATTAATAATAATAAAGTTTTTAAAAGTTAGTGCAAAGCTTGAACGTCATTTTGATGGGAGAAAATTTAGAGCCAAAACTATTTCAAGGGCAAGCATCGACATTTTCTATGAAACTTGTGCGTTTACGTTGATTACTTGACAAGGTAAGAAAGAATTTGTGAAGACCCCAAAAGCGCGTCACCGTTTTATAAGTCATGTCGACGGTTTTGTCCTCATTTATCTCAAATCTCACTTTGACATCTTTCAACAAATAGTACTTCAAAATTGTTTAAGTAGATAAGTTTATTGAGTCATGTTCAAAAATATTGTTGTTAAAAGTAGAAATTTTTTAGGGGACTGTTTTAGATGTGGTGTTTAATTTTTAAATAGTAGTAATAATTTGTTATGTCTAAGTAATGGTTAGTTTTGTTTAGCATTTTAGTTTTGTCTATGTGGTAGGTCTTATTGGTGTATTTAAACACCTTGTGTAACTAGTTTTTTCATTGAATACAGTGAATAAATTTTCTCTCTCAAAAAGTTTGTTACAATCTGATCTGACCTGATCAGACTTGGACCGTCACGGCTGACTCCGAGCTGAAGTTTTGAACGAGGTGGGGGGGTACATGCAAGACACTCCGATGCTGAAGTAAGTAAGAGCACGAGCAGGCAATAGTAGGAGTATGGGTAGAATGATGAATACCTGACCCTTTGGAAACAGAGGGTATTTATAGCCCCCAGCGCTGGGCCAAGGTCCCTTCATTGGGTCGGGCAGGTTTGGCCCAATGAAGGAACTGCCAGGTTCTATGTGTAGTGGAGACCCGCACGTGGTCTCCTTCCTGGATGTGCTGCGTGAAGTGCGGGCGGACGAGGACGCGGTCTTTTCGAGACCCAGGCGAGGGTGCAGTGGACTGAGTCTGCCCTAGGAGGGGTGCTCGAGCTGAGGTCGAGCTGGACAGTAGGAGGTCGAGCAAGTAGCCCCAAGGAGTACGTCGGGCACGACTGTGATCCTTTGGTCGGCGTGACCCCCAGCAAGTCCGTTTGGATTGAGCCTTATCAATGCTTCTGGGCCAGCCCGGCCCAGTCCAGAACAGGAGCCCCCCAAGTCGTGGTTCCTTGGGTTAGGAGCCATGACTTGATCTTAGGTCGCTTTTGTCGCGGGGTCCCATATCCGGGCAAGAGATGTAGTTCCTCATGGGGGTGCTCGAGGGGGTGCCCCGCATCACGTTCGCGGGCTGGTTCCCTTCGAGGAATGCTCGAGGGATTCTCAGTGGGCTACGTCTGTCGGGCACGCGAGGTCTTTTTGGGAACTGAGCGGCCACCCTATGGAGGATAGGGTCATTATTGCCTAGGGATCCGTGCGTCGAGGAGAGAAACTCTGTGGTTGCCCGAGGTGACGTTTGGTATTCCACGTCATCACTATAAATAGGGTCCTTGGGCCCCAGAATGTGTTTTCACTCTTCACGCTTCTCCTCTTCATTGTGTTTCTGCTATTGTTGTTCTTCTCAGACATCCACAGGACCGCCGTGATCTCTGTTGCAGATTTCGTTTCTCCGTCGTCAAATTTCCTCCTTTGATTCCACGTAAGTGACTCGTCTCTTCTGTTTTTCTGTTGTGATACGTGATTTTCATCGTTTTAGACGTTTTTAGAGGCTGTGCGCGTGGGACTAGCCCGGAAAACTTATGTTCATCCCGACAAATTCATGCATGAGGTCGGCAAACGCATGTTCGTGGCCGGTAGATACATAGTTTAGGTTATAATCTGCAGTGTTGCCCGGGGTCTTCATGATCCAGGGCGCCTAATTCGTGATCGTGCCCGGTATACTCATAGCTCTAGCTTTAGGCTTTATGATGTTGCTCTCCATGTTCATACCCCGGGTCGACGTATTCACGAGTGACCGCGTTGTCGGTTTATTTAGGCGGCTTATAGAAGGACCCGTCGAGGTATCTGGAAGTCGGGGAGGCGACTGCTATTTTTGTTTCAAACCAACTTTATGGTCGCGCGTGGAGCGACGTGGTTTGTCGCACACTTCATCTTGTCCGTTATGACGAGCGCATGGTTTCGTGCCCAATTGACTGGTTTCCCGTGCTCTGTAGGTAACCATGGCGGACGAACCATGCTCTTCAGGACGCCCCGAAAGGGAAGAACAAAGTGTCGATGAGACTGTGAGTTTGGTCGACACCGTAGAGGACCCTCTGTTGGACTGGGTGGGTGCCGAGCCTAGAGGAATCGCCTCGGTCTATAGTCGGCGCAGCCGAAGGCCATACGCTGTCCTTGAGGCGGGCTACGGCCAGCCCGGTTTTCAAAAGAATTTCGTCGTTACTAGACCGACCTTCACTGCTCGGATTTGCTCGGTGTTCCCCGAGTACAGTTTCCCTATGTATGAAATTGCATTCAAAGACCTTGGGTTGCAGCTTCCCTTCAGCGACTTTCAGGTCGGGGTCTTTAGCCATTTGGGGTTGGCCCCGTCGCAGCTACATCCAAATTCGCTCGCCTTTATCCGGGCGTTTGAGCTGACCTGTCGTTTTCTGAGGATTGGGGCGACTATACCCCTCTTCTTCAGAGTCTTCCATCTGCAGGGCCAGTCCCGGGGAGGAAAGCATAGCTGGGTTTCCCTGAAACAGTCGAAGAGACTTTTCAGGATGTACATGGACTCTGTGCGGGGTTTTAAAGACAAGTGGTATGTCGTGAGGCCGGTTACCACAACCGCTTTAGAGTCCCTGTACGAGGAGGAAGCGGTGATAACCGACGATGACGGGGAGGCACTTTTAGACAACTAAGGGCATCCGGTGTTGGGACGCACGGCCAAGTTTCCCGTGCATTGGATCTCTAGGAATTATGAGCACGGTACTAGGTATTATCATACGTCTGCGGGCGACATGGGTTCCGAGGACGAGAAGGCTTACGACACTCTTTGTCGGTACGTTGATAGCTTCCACCCCGCCAGATGGGCCACGAGGGAGGGGGAAGATATCCTGGACGAGGAGGGTTATCCGACCTTCGAGGCCCGACCGATTGATACGAAGGCACTCGTGGAGTGCCAGTCATTCGAGCAGGCTGCGCGTCTGCTAGGTCGTTTATTGTTTGAATTTCTTTGCTTGTCATTTGTTTGCTTATTTGCTCGGCACTAACCCAGTTTTTTTTCCCGTGCAGGTTCGATGGTCGGACGACAGGAGAGGCTCTTGAAGTTGTCCTGTGACCGGAGGGCGAACAAGAGGGTGGTGAAAGCTCCTCAAGCAACGAGGATAGGCCCACTGCATAGTCCGGGCGCTTCTCATGCGGTGAGGGTGGATTCGCCGCCTAGCTCGGGGGATGCTTCGGAAGAGACCCCAGAGGTCCAGGAGGTCGAGCCACATATCGACCTGATACCAAGGAAAAGGAACCGGGTGGAAAGTGGGTCGGCGGTCGGCGAGGATTCCAGCGCCGTAAGGTCCTTCGGGTTGCCCCCTTGCTTCAAAGAGGAGGGTTTCTTCGAGGGGTTCCCTTTGTCCGTGACTGCCGATGAGGCTGAGGCCATCAGGTGGATGAGCAAGGAGGACCGGAGGAGGCACCTGGCCGCCAATATGGTCGGGCTGGTGAAGATGATTGAAATGGTCGTTGTGCTGTCCGAGGAAGGGGAGGATCCTGACCGCATCAAAGAATTGGAACAGGAGAAAGCGGCCCTCACCTCGAGTTCACGAAAGTTAAAGGCTGCCCTGGAGCGCTCCGAGGAGATGTTCCGCGAGCAAGTCGCGCTGCTGGCTGCCGAGACAGAGATGCTGACTCTGGAGAAGGAGAACTCGGGGAAGCTAGCCGAGGAGAGAGAGCTTCTCCGTGCGGATCGGGAGCGTCTGGAAATCGACATCGGGCGCCTCGCCAGAGAGATCGAGGACCTGAAGGCCGCCATGCTTCCTGCCGAGGATGAGCCGGAGGATATAGCCGCTTTGAGAAGTCGATCGGAGCTGGTCGCCCGTATCCGGCTCCTCGAAGCGGATTGTATCGGTGCTATGGAGGAGGGGTTCGAGTCCGCGGTCAGCCAGCTTTCCTTACTAAATCCCGGTTTGAACACTGAAGGGACGGGCTACATGTCTCAGATCGTGGATGGAAAGATCGTGCCCCCGCCCGACTCTCCTGTTGTCGGTGATGATGGCTCCGGGGAAACTGAATTGTAAGATGATGATGGGCCTGCGTGCCTT